GGCCAGCCGTCGCAGGGGAGGACGCCCCTTCCGTCGCCAAAGTCGCCGTCCGCACGCTCGAGGACACGCTCGCCACCCCGGTGCAGCGCGACAAGGTCGTCGCCCGCTACGCCGACGACCTGCGCGCCTACTGCGCGGACCTTGTCGACCGCATCCCGCTCACCGACGACCCGCACTTCTTCCTTGCCGACGCGCGCCGCCTCACCGCCGTCCTCGTCTGGCTAGTGTCGGCGGCCCGCTCGCCGCCCGCCGTCGCACCCGTCATCGATGCCACCCCAGATCCGCTCATGCTCCTGGCGCGCGGCCCGAAGCAAAAGCGTACTCGCCCCTCCGACCCGCATCCCGCCGCCGCCCTGCCGGAGGCCTGCCAGCTCGCCCTCGCCGTGCTGCCGCATATGCGTCACGACGTGCCCGAGGATCGCCGCCGCGCAGACCGCTTCGCCGCCGTGGCCTTGCTGGGCATCCGCAGGGGGGAGCCCACCGCCTGGGACCTGGCCCTTGTCCTGCTCACCAACGGCTGGAGTGACGCCTTTGCCCCCGCATTGGACCCCCTCGCCGACGCCGTGGGGGAGGCGGTCACAACCAAGTTTCCCACTGGCTTGCCGGCCTTGCTTCCGTTACTGGACGCCCTGCCGCCGGCTCGCGCATCGGCTGCCCTGGCAGAGACGGTGTTGGACAGGATGAAGCATGCGCTGACCCCACCACTGGAGAAGCGCCAAACCTCGAATGTGCCCTACGTGCTGGCCGCGTTGCCGACATATATGGAGTGCGCCACGTTTGCGAGAGGGACGGGGTGCGACCGCTGGTTTGAAGAAGAGGCATCGGTCCAGTTGCGGGTCCGGTATGCCGCCGATGTCTTTTCCAATCACATCTCCCCCACATTCGAGGCGTTTGCTTGCGGCCGCCTCCCTCCCATTGCAAGCAGGCAGTCACAGTCGGCAAGTGGCACCCCGCGCCGGCGAGCAAGGGGAAATACTAACCATGCTATTCAGGCTTTATCGGTGCAGGTTGCCCGTTCTTTGCGTGGGTTGGAAAAGGATGTCTTGGATGCAACGTTTGAAACAGTCGCCAAGTCGTTTGTGAGCTGCCTTGACGAGAAGAACCCGGAAGAGCCTCTCGACAGATATTTGCAGCTGCTCAATTGTGGTGAAGAAAACGCCGCGCTCCCGTCTGCGTTTGGGGCAGCAGTTTTGTTGGAAATTATCAAAACGCGTCCAGGAGAGATGCTGGCGACGCACACAAGAGTGCTTTCGCTGGCGCTGTCTAGCAAGGCTTTTGGAAGTGGTGCAACCAGCTCCACCTCTGCCGCAATGCAATTCTCTTCTCGAGAATTTTCTTCCGAGCTGATGGCTTATGTCAAGGCCGTGCTAAGGCATCTGGAAGGAACTGGGAAAAGCCAGGATATGAATGAGAATGGGTATGTGAGAACTTGTATTGGGGAGGCATACAGTTGGATGTACTGGGTAGCCAATGCTGACGAAAAGGCACAAGTGCTGGATCAGATAATCGAAAGCGTGGAACCGTTTGACAACGAAGAGAATACCTTGTGTCTGCTTGGAGAATTTCTGCGAGCACATAGACGGCGACGCGAGCGGGTGGGCTTGTCGCAATGGACTGCAATCAAAGGACCGCGGCTAGAGGGCATTGTCGTTGATGCTGCCAATCGGATGCACAAGGGTGACAGTGTTCATGCGCTTTCATTTGTGACAACAGCGTCTGATCCCCAAGGAGGGGCATGCATGCCTCTCTCTGTGCTTCGCCGTGTCGCGGAAGTTTCTATGCAGCAAGTACAGGAGGCGAAGGACAGATTTGATTGTGACGAATTGCTGGTAGTCTTACTCCGGTCACCTGCGAAATACATGGACAGCGAACAATCGTTTAAGGACCTATTAGATTACGCGTTTTTACGGGCTGTAGCCTCTGACGCCGTCTATGCCCAGGTTTTGTGCATGTTGCTGCTGCTAGCTCCAGCAACATGCAAAGAGCACGTTTGTCGAATGATTGCTTTGGTGACAGAGCAATCTGGTATTTCTGGAAAGGAAGGCTCTGAAGACAATGTTCTGCGCGCAAAGATAATTGTCCAGCTCGTTTCTGATACTAGCCAACACGTGGGTAGCGAGTCGGTGGCAATATGCGAGGAGATTCTGTCGCGTTCGAATCCCCAGCTGACCCATGAGCTTTTGCAGAATGCATCAATGTCGATCATTTTTGGGAATGGAAGTGCTACTGATGTGCGACAGGACCTGCGACATGACCTCTTTCTTGACACTTTTGAAGAAGTTTCAGTCGCGGGAGGGCACGATGAGATTGAAGCTAAGATGCAAACGTTTTTGCAAACTCGAGACCCCCAGGCCAAGAGCCAGATCGCTCGATTAGCTGCCGCGAGGATTCTTCACGGATCGAATGAAGCGCTCTGCAGATTATTATTCAACACCTGCCATGAGAGTGTCACCGACACGGACGAGTGGACCTCGATTGCGAATGGAATTGCAGAAGAGTTGCTTCTATCCTTTCCTCTCCCAAAAGGGGGGGATACTCGCAACAAGTTCTCTCGCGTGCCATTGGTTGTACGAGTATGTATTGCAGCAAGTGATGGGGCTTTCTTAGATTCCTTCAAAGAGCTCGTCGAAACTACTGTTAAGATGGTCAGACGGGATCCGCTTGCTTTAGATGGTCAAATTGCTCTTGACATTTTATCGGCTGCGTTTGTGACAAAGAACGAAGATGACAACGACGACTTTTCCGTTGCTGATACCTCTCGGTCATCATCGAAGCTACCAGATTGGCTTTTGCAGAGTGCGATGGTTGTCTTGGTTGCCGTTCGGCGTTGTTTGGAGCGGCCGCTGGCAGCATCGAAAACTTCTATCGAACTGTTGGAAAAGCACGGAGCATGCTTTTTTGCGAGCCTATTACGCCGAGCTAGTCTGGACGAGCTGCGACAAGATGATTTACGGTTTTGGGCATTGCGCACCAGAGACATTCTTCGCTACTATACAAGAATGGGTGCCTCAACGTCAAAAGAGAGATTGGCAAGTGCTTCGACGCTGGGGGCCGCCTTGGTAGAACTAACAGCATTGGGACAAGTCGTGCATCCAGATGTAATCGACGAAATTTGTCACTATGCGGGATGGGCTGCTGCGTTGCTCTTATCGGGCCCTGAAGCCTCGGGTCCAAGAAACAAAATGGCAGGAATGTCGTTATTGAAAAGAGGCTCAGTTAGCAGCAGCAATCTTGTCTTGAAAGCCGTCGAACGAGGCGTGTTTCTCGGTCTTGATGGAGAAATTCCTATTGACATTGAAACAGTTTACGACCTTGCTCCTCAGCTAGCAAGCCACAATTCTTTTGTACGCAAAGCCGTGTTGACGCTCCTCTCCTTTGCCGCAGCAGTTGACTTGCCTGAGAAAGTAGCAGACGCGTTTCCAAAGGACGGTTTTTCCGATGAAGCCAAAGAAATCAAATTTGTGACAAACCAGACGCCAGCCCCGCTACGGCTAGCCTTGGAATGGCCACATATAGAAGGCACATCAGATCCCAAAGAGAGCGCCGACTTTGCCGTGCGAGAGCTGGGATATTTTCTCGCGTGGCGGCTCTTTCTCGATCTGATAAAGACTGATGAACAGACAGGATCCGTTGAGCTGGATGGCGATGTGCAAGAGGATGTCTCCTTCCGCCGCGTTGGGATCACATTCCTGCGATCAAGACCAGAGCTCTACGCACAGTTTTTCAACAAGTGCGTCGAAGTAGTGGTGGACGGAAGTATGACAGAGCGCGTCGCGGCGGGGATGGCTGCCGCAGAGGCACTCCAAGTGGAAGAGCGAGCAGCGCAAGGCATGCAACTTGTCCGACCCCCGCAGGATTCTCAAGATGATGAAACAGAGCCTGTAGATGTGAAACAGTATCAGTTTGATGCTGATTCAGCAATGGACGAGGAGGTCGGCAAGGCCGCCGGCATTGCATTTGCTCGAGCACTACAGCGGCTGCCTGCGCTTTCACGGCAGCACGTTACAGACAGCTTGGACCGCGGAACAGCGCTTCGCGTAGAATCTTTTGTGCGCAAAAAGATATCTCCCCTGCTCATTGCTGCGGAGATTCGCAAAGTCAAGGAATGGGGCGCCTTTGGTGGCGGCCGTACATCGTTACCAAAAGCGGGGCCATCATCGAGTTCAGCTCCAACCCCAGCCGCTGCCCCAGAAGTCGAAGGCGATGGGGACGGTGAGTTGAGCGCCCGGGGGTCTGTCGCGGGACGAGAGGTGTGGGCCACGTACACATTTTCCGATGTCACACTGGAAATTGGAATGCGTCTACCTGACGTTTTCCCGCTCAACATTGTTGAAGTAGAAGCGCGCAGTCGAATCGGGATGTCAGAAGCCCGCTGGCGGAAAACGCTTCTTGGAATGACAACGCTCCTACGAGCTAAAGACGGGACGCTCGCAGAAGCCGTCGAGCTTTGGCGCCGCAACCTGGACAAGACATTCCAGGGGGCTGAAGAATGTCCCATCTGCTACTCTGTCCTCCATCTTACCACCGCTGCCTTACCCCGCATGCAATGCCGCACTTGCAAGAACCTGTTCCACTCGGAATGCCTCTGCAAGTGGTTCACGAAGAGCAACAGCAGCGCATGCCCTCTATGCCGTAGTGCGTTTTAAATTAGCCCCTCTAACTTGAACCTTAACCTGTACATAGTCCCACCTAAACCAATATAGCCCCCGTTGGCAACTCGGTTCAACGATGAAGCTCTATGAAGCTCTTTGTAAACGAAATGGCCAACTCAAAATGTGTACAGCACTGCGTTCCACTACCCTTCGAAGGGTAATTGAGAAGCTTCCCTAATCTTCAGTCTGGGGACGAATATGCAGCATTTGCTACACTGTAAACTTTTGTGATAGACGAATGAGAGCGGACTGCACTGTAATTCAGTGAGAAGGAAATCATGTCACATATAAATACTGAATCAATTCCCCTTTCCGAGCACTTGAGTTGAGGCCACTGTGGCCGAGTGGTTTTTGGTTCCACAATAAGGCGGCAGGCTTAAGACCTGCTTACCCTGACGGGTAGCCTGGGTTCGAACCCCAGCGGTGGTATTTCTGGACTCGAGTTGTTTTTTGTTTTTTAGTGTCCTTCAGAAAAGCATACTAACCTTTTACCTCCATTTTGGCCTGTTATCGACTCACGAGAAGCAAAAGCATAAGGCAGAAAAATGACGCGGCGAAGGTTCTCGTTGTACTTCTACGTATCCGCCCCCCGCACACCGTAACGCGCAGTTGCAGATCACAAGAAAGTGATCATCCAGTGCAAATACAACTGGAACCTCATCTCTTCCGCCCTGTTCGACCGCCCCGCCGCCATCCTTTCCACCCGCACGCTGATTTCGCACCTCTTTTTGTGCTTTGAATCTGTAATTGCTGCTGATCACTTTCGCTTCAATGGGTCGATGCCACCGAATGTAATTGAGGTGCCTTCTTGCCGTGGGCTAGATTTTTCGTCTCCCCTGCATTATAAGCAGTGAAGTACACCATCAGAGCACATCTTTCATAGAGTGAGCGGTAGGGCAGTCCTGGGCAGTCTCAATTGCATAGCAGTCTTTTCGCCAATAAGGAGAGCCTGTATCGCAAATAGCATACAGACAGGGGTTGCCGAATCTAGCTTGCCATACCCTGGCACTAAAACAATTCCTAATCATTGACGGATACTGGCATGACTGACTGATTCCACATATGACCTCATTCCGAGCCAGCATATTTCATACGCATTTATTATGTTGGACTAATTGAATAAGATCGGGAATCGCGTTCTTGGTCCTGAACACACAGCATCAAATGAAATAATTCGACATTGTGTATCATGTTTCCTCCAGACACACTGAAGTGCCCAGTGCCTTTCGTAGAGCTTTCCAGTTTTGGGCAGGGGACATGTCATCTTTCATGATTTACGGACATTCCGCACCACGCCATGACTCATGGCACCATCTCCTAGATTGTTCACTCATGGGCCATAAATGAACAGTCTAGGAGACTCATGGGCCATGAGTGAACAACCTAGGAGTTGGTGCCATGATATCACAATTTTCCTTTGGAGACTGCATAGATGGGAACATGGTCATTCGCGTGTCGCTGGTATATCTAATTGGGATGACCTGGGCTCTTCTCTGCACGTGGAGGCGTACAATAGGAGGTGATCAAAAAATGTCTCAATGAAATACGACTTGTTTTATACCTTTTGTAACCAGAGTCCGACGTGTCCACAAGGTCAAAACCCGACTCTCCTTCTGTTTGTCTGTTCACTGTATGATGTCACACAGTTCAAGAGCCTGCGGCAGCGACTCGCAGACCAGTCGCCATACTCTACCAATTCCGCTTCTACTTATCCTCTAGAGAGAATACAATATGTGCAAAAGTGTGCTAATCACAATTGCTTTGTCCCGGAGATCGAGTTGTTGTTGATATAACGAGGGTTCTACTGGACTGGAATGGAGCCCTGAGCAGTCAATTATGAGAGAGAGATGCCTCAGAGGTCTTGAAACGTCATTTGATTTCATTGCGCCATCTCATGTAAAGGGTATGGTGCAAATTTTGGAAACATCCAATTAGAATGCGACCAGTAAACGACTGAGCATCATTTTGCAGCACCTGGATTGCACCCAAGCAATCCACTGAGCACTTCACGCCCACTGCCGAAAAGGAGGTCGTTACTAGCCCTGTCTTTCAACTACAGTGAATGTTCAACTGCAGAGGATATTCAAGCGAAGTCCTTTATAATGCATCTTCACTTTTATTATCTCTCTTTCCCCGTGATGCTTCGTCTTGTGCAGCAGCTGGACGTTCGATATGTCGCCCTCTCTTCTCGATATGCCGCATGATGCCCAGTCCCAGAGAGCAATTCCAATTGTCACAGATGAGGTTGCGAAGAGCAATCTTCTCTGTCCTTTTTATGCACTGGCTTTAGTTTTTGGTACGTTCATGCATCTGTTCGAGAGGCAATACGGGGTTCTATCTTTTGGTCTGTTTCTAACGTGAGCGTATACAGCCGTCGCCCTCGCTTGCACTCTCCTTATTACTTTTATCGTCGATGTCTTTTCAAATGAGTTTTTTGAACCGCGGAGGTTTCTTTCACACGACCCAGCTGCTGCAAAAGCCCTTCTCAACAGCAGCTGTCCTAGATATGTTATATCAAAAGCAGAAAGGGAAAGCTGTTGCATATGTCTTGAACAGTTGCAGCAAAGAGCAAGTGTACGAAAACTTCCATGCCGTCACGTGTATCATACAAGGTACGTGTACTTCTGAACTTCTCTTGCTGACGTATTCAACATGCGCCACTATCTAATGCACTAGGAGTTTTCGTTTCCCTTACACATGTGATCTGACCGAGCATTCCGTCCTTTGTGAAAGCAGGTGTATTGACAGGTGGTTGTTAGAATGTTCTAACCGTTGCTGTCTGTGTGGAGAGGCAGCCGTGAAAAACAAGTGTATTGAAGCAGTTGCGAACAATCTGTGCTGACGTGCACTGCAATGTATTGCCGGCGAGGCTCCATCAACTTACTCTATTCTCTCTATCGCTTTTCCATGCATACCAGTAGGTGTGCGCTTCTCACCATTGTATACACGCTGGAACAGGATAGTAGCATCAGCCAGTTCTCCAAAATCCAAATCAAGCCGTCCACTTCTTGTCCGTGGTATGAAATGTGAGGCTCTTAAATTTGTCGTTTCCGCATAGATTGGATCGGCAACCATATCCCGCTCGGCAGTATGCAGGCGTTTGACATCGTCTACATTTTCCACTTCAGCCATATCCGGCGTGTCGTCACCTGAAGTGGGAGGCGCATCTGCAGGTGTACAATCAACGGATTCTTCGCTTCTATCCTGGCTTGCCTCTCCGTTGACCATTTCAGCCACCTCATGATCTTTCGCTGCTTGATTTGATGTACAGTCTTTTGATGATTCTTGTAAACTGGCAGGGCCAGCACAGCAGCAAGAACGTGGAGCATCTTTCACCGTCTCTTCAACAGAACCAGCCGAATCAAGTTCAGAATCCTGCACAGTCACATCTCTAGCAACTGATTTAGGTGAACTAGGGGTGGACGCAAAGTCTGCCTTTTGGTCGCAATACCCATCTTCGAATGAAGAAGCAGGGATAGCTTCGTTACCACCGGAGTTGTACAGACCGCTGACGAAATTGGCGGTTTTGCTTTTTGCCAACAACGAGTTGTTGCTTTCCGATATCGAAATGGGCTCCTTCAAACACGGCTCTTCAGTCCGAATGTGTTTTGAGATCTGATCCGCAACTCGAGCGAGCCCTGGAGATTGTTCCTGGATCGCATTGATTGATTCTTTACGTGATACGAGCATTTGCAGTTCGCTTCCGTCGAGCGACGTGCGCTGTTCTTCCATTCCATCAGCATTCATCAGCAGTGCCTCATTTTGATCACTTGCGGCATTTTTCTCTCGTCTAGGTGTTGATGCACCCGATTCCGGTTCGATCGTCTCCGACATGGAGGAGATTTCTTTGACGTTTGCAGCGATTTCCGATATTTTGGAATGTGCGCTTTGAAATGGTTCCCCAACCTGGTCGGGGTCTGGAGAACCAAAAAGTCTGTCGCGTGTTTCCGAAACCTTGACATCAGTAGTCTCATTTCCAATCCTGTCCGAAAATGCTAGCGTTTTTCTTTCTGCGCTAATACCCGTGGTCAAGCCCTCAGGGTTGGCAATTCGAAAATCTGACTCCATTTCGCTTATCTTTGACGAATAAAACTCCAGCTGTTCATCTCCATTCGTCTCAATCAAGGATGCAGATTTCTTTTGCGAGCTTTGTTCAGTGTTCTCTTCGTTTGGATGATTCAGTTCCTTGTCGCTTTCTTCTGGAACGGTGAGGGTCTGGTCCTCTCCTTCGGCCGTCATGGAGGCATCAAGCTGCCCCGTCAGTTCTTCTCGGTGAGGGCCCTTGACAGATATATCCCAGACGCTGTCCTTGTTCCCTTTCCGTAAACAAGAGTCATCCTGTGAATTGTTGGCAACCGAGGATGGAGTGAGTGTGTTTTCCAAGAACTTGTCGATTTTCTTCTCAATGGCCTGCTCAGATACCATTGTTTTTGATTCAGGAAGACTCGTGGCTTTGTCTTCGTTTTCAGGTACCTCTAATGCAGAGATCGTCGGAGGTAGCACCGTTTCATCAGTCTTTTCGATATCTGCAACCGTAACGTCTTGTTCAGTGGATAGCGTTGGGAGTTTCGAGGAAGTTTCAAGTGGCGCTTTTCGGACCTCTGTCTTAGCTTCATTGACGACGTCCTCTGCAGGTCCAAAAATAGTTTGTGCCAAGTGTCCCGGAACTTCATCCCTCTCAGTTTCCCTTTCTTCCTTGCATGCTCGCGCAGCAATGTGGTCTTGCAATGCTCTACTTGCAAGCAATTCATTTGGATCTAGAAAAATACCTTTCCAGGACGGCAAGAGAGGATCTTCACCCGCTTCAGAACTTGAGACGTTTTTCGCACAACTTTTTTTCTTCCCAGAGAATTTAATTGTTCCCCTTTTCGCGGTCTTAACATCGGCCTTTCTCGGTTTGTGATCAGAATTATTCTGCTTCGAATATGAGAGGGGGTTTGATGAGCTCTCGCCTGGTTGTATCTCTTCCACAACCGTTGAGAACACAACTCGTTTGGGTGGCTTTGTACTTGTAGAGTCATCTGCAATGTAACCTTCGAATTGCACGTTTGGTTGTACAGAATGACTACCTGTGCGAGCACAAGTAGAGTTTTCACAGAAACGTCAGAGCGTTAGTTATCGATTGGAAGTTGTATTGTAAGTTAGAGGTATATTCAGACTCAGTTCAAGGATAAGTGGCAACTTACTCGCATCAATGCTCGAAAACAGAGAAGGCCTGGTATCAGAAACATCGTTCGGATTGTCTTCCGGTATTAATGACCTACCAGGGGCGAAGACCTTTTGATCACAAGGAATTAGTGGAACGTAAGTTGAAAACTTCGGAGAAGAATGACAGACCATAAAAACACATGAATTACCCGCATCTGAAGCTGAACTGGGCGTAGAACCGAAGAACTTCGGCGTAGGTACAGCTATTTTCCATCCCGGATTTTGTTCCGAGGTCGAAAGTTGTGGTCTTGTCTTTGCCAGGAACTTCACTGCAATGCAGCAGTCGTAGATTGTTGCAAGAGCGCTCCATTCAATATCATTGACAAATGGGTTGTGTAGATATCTACGTTTATCCTCTACCTCAATCATGGCAGGTAGCTTGTTCAGAAGCTCTTTCGCGGAGGGTATATCGATGTTTTCAAGATACCACTCCTGTAAGAGAATCGCGAGCTTCTCCATATCAGCATGTTTGATCAGGACCGAGATCCTCGTCCGAACCTCCAGCATACCTACAGGCTCTTTGCCGGAGCGAATGTAAAGCGCATTGATGGCATACACTGCGGCCGCCAGACCGAAACGGTCCTTGACGTCAACAGGTTTGAGTGGCACAATATCTTGGTCGCCGAATTTCTTCGCGTCAGACATAGCTCCAAAGTCTACTGTAGAGAACACGAAGCAACTTTCACATCAAGGTGGTTGAAGGAGGGCGCTTGTACGAACTTTCCAAACTTCAAGCCAAAGTAACCGTCTGATATGCAGAACAAGCTATATGCAGCACGCTGAAGGGGGTTTGTACTCGATTCAGAAATGATACTATCGCTTTGCAACTGCAAACCAATGAGCACATTCGAGAGGAATGAATCCCTGTTCTTGTGCGAAATTCTGGCGTAGAAGGGGCCACACTCAAGGAAGTACACGCAGTTTACGCATATTTAGGTAGTGCAGACAAGGCCGTTGTATGCTTGGACTAAGGGCCGGCGGGGACACAAGTAGATTTAACAAGATGGAAGTCTGTTACTCGAGTAACAAATTCATATCTGTTCGCAACCCGTGTCGCAGCAAGAGAACTATGGGCGCGTTTCTTTGCAGGGGTGAATTATGCGTTGAGTTCAACGCTCTTACAGAACCTAATTTTTCACTGTCTCCGAAGGAATATATCGTTGTGCCGGCAGTGCCATACATTTCGGAAGACCTACACTTAGATAATCGAATCTGAGAGCAAGGCCAGTTATCGGTGGATGCAGGCGTGGACATGTTGGTTGCGAGTGATTTGGCATGGGCCCGGTTAGAAAGATAGGCGGGAAGGACATTGTAATCATAGCTCGCGACGCGTCGCGGCAGGGCATTCCATGAAGATTAGCGGTTAGGTGGGCCTTAGTGTTTCTTTCGGCGCGGCTCGAACATCCCCGCGCCATGGCGTTCCGTCATCATTTTTTTTTGCGATGGCGGCGAGAACTCTCGTCACAGGACCAGAGGAGATAAAGTAAGCATTCTGTTGGGTCTGAGCTGAGAGCAATGTCCGACGGCCTTGATATGGGGGGTATTGAGGCTGAGAATTGCATCTCAGCCGTATGTATGCTCCGGTCTGACTGACGGCAATAGCGAGAGTACACCTCGACTTGCAGATAGATTTGAATGGTGGCAATTTCTTGCTATCCTTGTTTAGCGCGTGGGCGCTCAATCTCTGTGCCTCTTTCGTGCGTCTCAGATTCTGATTCGGTTTCAAACCTTGTTCGTAATGGACTCTGCATCCATCGTCTTTGCGCTTCCCCCGACATCTTGTGCTCAAGGAGAAATAATTCGGGATGGGTATAACCTAATTGTGGATGTGCTGCGAGAACCTCTACGTGAACTTCACTGCGCAGCAGACATAACCCCTCAGTACTTTGTTATCTTCGATGTCTTTCCGTTTTCGGCAGGAGCTCAAAGATTAGCCTTCAAGGGGTCGATTTATGAACGAGTCGCAAGTGGGGACCCCGTCTTTTGCGTCCATGCGATCGTGAAGATGGAGATGGCAATTCCTGAAGTAGTCGAAACAATGGAGACCGAGCGCACGAGAATAAATGCCACAGAGGCGCAGAAGACGGTGCGTAAACACGACGTTACCCGCCAGTATATCGAAAAATGGTGCGCTCTTGGCATTAACAAGAGCGTGCATGTCCTGAGCACGGAAAAGGTGACAATAACTCGCGGATGCTCACTTCAGAACATTGACAGGCGCAGGTTTCCAATCTTGCATCAACTATTTAAAAAGTTATCCTTGGATGCGGTGTTGTACAAAAACGCTGTGGGCACGGTTGAAGACTACCTTCCAGGTCGCTTCACCAAGTTTCTAAACAACGACGGTATGGCGAACAACGAAGTATCAGCCAACTTTCCCGCTGCTTTCTCGCATTGGTCGTGGGTTGAGAGCAAGGGAGCACTTATGGTGTCAGACATCCAGGGTGTACGTACGGGGGCTGGGTATGCTCTCACTGACCCTTGCATTCACTCGGTCCGCGACCGGGAAGGATATGGAATATCTGACCTCGGGATGACTGGTGTGGAACATTTTTTCAAGAGGCATCGATGCAACGCGCTTTGCAATGACCTCGGTCTGGGCAAAGACGATGCGGACATAGACCTTGGACATGGGATGCGTACGAGAATACTTCCGAATGCCGCATGGTTTGGAGGGCATATGGAGCAGCAAAACGAGAGGAGGCATGCCGTAGCCGGATCTCCAATCGGGACGATGGAAGGGAAGACAAGAATGAAATTGCATGCAGGACGGGATTGTGAGGTGATGGAAAGTGAAGGCACTGATGAGAGCGGGTCAAAGGTGCGAAGGAGGTCTACTATGAGAGTTCAGACGAGGACTAGAGCGGCAGCGGACATGAAGCAGAGGGAGAGAAGAACAACGATAGCGGCGGGGGAGGAAGCCGGTGTCGAGGCCGCGAAACGCAGGAGGGCTTGGGGCAGATTTTGGAGCCCGAGCTCAGGGGGCTCGAAGAAGGAAGAGGACAAGCGCATCTTTCTGCGGGGGCTCTTCTCACCTCGAAAACGGGTGCATGAATAAAAAGTCGCATTTCATTATTTACATACACCAAGTCAAAGCCTCGAGATCCGTGCCGCTTGTGTCTTTTATCATGGGACTCTGCGGATGTGGTGACTGCGTAAAGCTTGGCGCGGTGCAGGGTTGCGTGCCGTCCAGTAGATATCTGCGATGCACATGTTCGGTCCACGAGTGGACTTGCAGTCACTGCACTTGTTTTATCCATCCTTCGCATGGGCGCCGCCGGATTGTGTCAGGCGAGATTGTGAGCGCACGCAACTGCCAGAAGAGATCGTGACCCATTGAGGAACTACAGTATGGGGCAGGCGCGTTAGCCGCCAAGGGGTTGTGGCTCAGCTGTGAAATCTCATGGAAACAGATCTGTTCCCGTTTCATTCACAAGAAGCCAGACATGTCCCGTGGGCCAAAACCCCATCGACCATTGGCAACTGGAAATTGCACGGGCGCGACACGCACAGCTAGCATAGAGAGAAAGAGAGGCAAGGGCGTCTCATCTCTTTGCCGACGTCTGCCAGTAAGGAGAGTATCCAGTTTCCGAGGCTCCGCGAATGACGTTTTCGATATCTTTTACAACCGCGACCTGAAGCCGTGAGATTGACCACTACGCTACGCTACGTTACCTGTTTTCGTGTGCAGGTATCCCACAGATACAACCCTCGATGCAATGCACGGGCACTCTCCCAGTGCGCACAAAAGGCCAAGCAAAAAGGTGTGGGAGGCCCGCGCGTGCACTGCTATGATCTCTTGCCGCCGGCCTTGGATCTGGCCCTGGTTTTCTTCCGCACGGGAAGCACGCCTCGGTAAAACCTGCGCGCCGTTCCGTCACAATTTCTCACAACCCTCCCCTTGGCGTCCACCCACAAGTCGGAATCGCTCACCGTGAGCTGTACGCATGCTTCAAGAATACCGACGGGGTGCCCGTACTTGGTGAGGCTGAGCTCAAAGGCGAACGGCCGTCCAATGTAGTCCAAAAGTTCACGTAATGCCAGAGCACCCGATGTGCCAACGCGCGTCTTCTTTTTCGCAAACTCGACCAAGACGTGCCGATACTGGAGCTCTGCCAAATTCTCTATTGGCAGGAGAGGGATGACCGGGAGCGATTCGCCGATGCGTTCCCGGGCGCCATTGACGCGTTTGGGAATGCTGACGCGATACACCCGTCCTTGCTTCAAAAACAACCCCTGGCCGTGAACTTCCATGCGCATGCCGTTGAGTCTTCGGCGCTTCTTGACCTTTTTGTTCTGTGTATTGTTCTCGACATGCTTGGAGAGCGAGTCGCGCTTCCGCGGCCCGCTGTTGGCGTGCGCGATAGGTCGTTGGGAGTCGCGGCTCGTAGACGGAGTGGTCGGGGCGCTCCTCGGGGCACTCCTCGGGGCGGTGTGAAAGCCGTCGAGAAAGTTGCGTGGATGCGCGTGCGGGAAGGGCGAGTTTGGCATCGAGCTGCCGTCTCCGAACGCAGACTCGCTCGTGTCAAGAGAAATATGCCGGAAGGCGTCGCGCAGCAGCGGGGCTTCCGGACGGGGCTCGTCGCTGCTGACAAGCGGGCTCCCAAAATTGCGCAGGTCTTCCGCCTCGACGCCGGGGGGCGGGTCGCCGTACGAGTTGTAGCTGTCGCGGACGTTCTCGTCCACCCTGGGGTAGAAGCAGTTGTCCTCGGCGTCTGAGGAGACGGTGGTGTCGTCGTCGTCGTCGTCGTCATCGTCGTCGTCGTCCTCCTCGTCGTCGTCGTCGTCGTCGTCGGGGACTTCGTCCAAAGGAAGGAGGGGTGTGTCGTCATCCTCGTCACGGCCCATGAAGGTGCGAAGAAACCTGGCATGGTCAAGGCCATCTGTGGTGGGAGGTATCGGCGGGATGCGTAGGGTTCCCGGCTCGTAGATGCGGCGCATGGAGGGGGGCCCGTCTGTGAAGGAGATGCGGTCGGCAAACTTGCCCGGGCCCTTCACAAAGCGGACGAGCATGAACTCGAGGACGAGACGCTTGCCCTTTAAGGCATTGAGGGGGCGGTCCGGGGCGACGACGAACGGGACGCGAAGCTCGTACTCGCCGTACAAGGGGATGTGGTCGCTTTGCTTGAAGTCCGTTAGCGAGGTGTAGCGCAGGCTCTTGACGAGGTCGATGCGACCGGGAAGCGAGTGCCACAGGATGCGGTCGCAGTAACTCGGGACGCGGATGGTGCTGTACTGAGCGGTCTTGGGGTCGATCTTAAAGGTCGGGGGAAAGTGGATATCGGCCTCCTGAAAGTTGGCAAAGACCTTATCGCCCATCTTCTCCCTCATGAGCTGATCGGCATCAACCAGGGCGTGCCAATCCCTGTTTGCAATCTTCTGACGGACCCACTTGACCCTCTCCGCATGATCCGTACCCGGGGGTTCAATGCGATAGTTGAGGTCTCCCAGGACGAAGACATGCTCATAGCGATGAAACAACGGGACTGGAATAACCGGCTCGGCCCCCCTCGACAAGCTCCTCTCATCTTTATCCAGCCTCCTAAGAATGGCCCTCCAATCATCTTCCCTCCCCTGCACGCGGTGCTCATTAGCGGCCAAATGAGCGACGACGAACATAGCCCTGCAGCCGTGTCCGAAGGAGACCTCGACAGCGACGGCGCCCTTGTTCGGCCAGCGGTCCGCGACGCCGACGCCGACCCTCCTACCGGAGCCTGTAGCGCGGACGGCGTCGTGGGCGCGGCGCGCGTGCTGCAGCGGCGAGAAGTGGACGCTGGCCGTGCGCGGGACGTTGGGCGCCTCGCGCGCGTACACGCGCAGGCGCAGGCCCGCGTACGCCTCCGCCGCCACGCAGCGCCACGACGGCCCCAGGCCGTGCGCGAGGTGCGCCGTCCACGGGCGCCGCGCCACAGGCACCTCCTGCAGGCCGACTACGACGACGTCGCAGTGCGCCGCCACGCGCAGCAGACGCGAGGCCGCGGCCGATAGAGGCGATACT